CGGGCTGCGAACCACAAGGTCAGCAGTTCGAAACTACCAGCTGTTCCGTGGGAGAAAGATGAGGCTTTCTGCTCCTGTAAAGATTTACAGCCTTGGAAACTCTATACAGGGTCGCTATGAGTCGGAACCGACTCCATGGCATATAACAACAACAATGTCCTATTTGCAGGTCTTGTCCCAAACATTCTACACCCTAGTCCCATGCTGGAGATTTTGAGGCTTTCCCATATGTCACCTCCTCCTTAACCCTTCCCTCCCATCTTGGTTCTCACTGCTCTGCCTGACTCTCAGTTCTTCTTGTGGAGGTAAAGCAGGCCCAAGGCTACTGGCCTGTCTCAAGCCCCACTGCTCAGCTGACAGCCTGTCCACAGTGTTGCCTGTTCTTTGTTTCCTGCCGGTGTCAGAAATGGCCTTCCCATTGACCACCTCCACTAGGAGCGCTCCCTGAGCTCCTTCCTGCTATTCAGCCCACATCTGGTATCACACAGCCGGTCACAGGACTGCACATCCTCAAACTTCCAGCTCCTGGAAAAGGCCCTGTTGGTATCACTGTGCCCAACACGATGCCTGGCATAGGGTAGAGGTTCAGGAAATGCTGTGGAAGGAGGAAGGCAGGAAAACTGCTGGGAACTCCAGGCTTACTGGCTGTGAGGTGTTTGGTGTAGTCTTGTGGCTCTGGCCCCTTCTGTTCCCCCAGCACAGGCCTCCTGGGGACAGTGGCCAACGTTCTCTTCTTCTTTACAGGTGCTACAAACAACCCCACTGTGGACTCCCAAACTGAGGAGGACTATGCCTCAGAGGAAGACCTTCTGCCCCTCCAGCAGCTGGAGTCCCGCTGAAAACAGGAGGCAGCGTGACAGAGCCTAGAGACCTCTTCTAGGGCCTCAGGCCATTTGGGTGGAAAATATATGTTTTTTTACGACGAACTCTTCTGGAAATATTGTTTGAACAAAGTTCCCGGGCCCTGGCTAACGCCATTGGTGTGTCTCAGTGTATGCATGGCTGTGTCTAGGCCTTGGTTGCTACTCCCCTGGAGCCACTCCCAGCTCTGAGCTGTTCTTTTCATGGGTGAAAGTAGTTGGCCAAGTACTGTGTCCACTGCCTTTATAGACATGTGGGAGTGGACATTTCCCATCCCTTTTCCTATTGTCACTGTTATTGTTGTTAAGTGCAAGCGAGTTGGTTCTGACTCAGAGCGACCCTGTATAGGGTTTCCTAAGAGCAGCTAGTGAGCTTGAGCCACTGACTTTGTGGTTCAAACCGACCTTGCAGTCCAGTGCCTTCATCAGCAACGCCACACCAGGACTCCTCCCATTGCCACTGTTGTTTGTTGTTGTTAAGTGCCATCGAGTTGGTTCTGACTTTTGACGCATAGCAACCCATTACTACTAGGCACCCTTAAAGCTACTTCCCAAACCTCTGATTTCCTTTGTGCCTGTCTGCCGAGTTCAAGTTCAGGTCTGGATTACTGCTTTTTAGTCCCACTGGGTTGCCTGCTCAGTTCCCACCCTTTATGCCATTCTCTGCAGGGCAGCCCGAGGGCCCTTTAAAGACACAAGAAAATGTGTCCCCTGTGTTCTCAAGGCCTGAGAGACTCCTCAGTGCCCTGACCAGTCCTTCATTGTTTTATGTAGTAGTTTCAGACACCTGTACACTATTCTCTGGCTCCTTCAAGCCCTCCTTAGTATTTCTGCCAAATTGTTCATTAGGTTAATGGGTGTGTGTTTGACCTCCCTGACCTTGGGCTGACTAGAAGCCCCTGTTATGGATTGAATTGTTTGTTATTGTAAATCCTAACCTGTATATCTGTGGTTATAAGCCCACTGGGAATGAGTTGTCTTTGTTATGTTAATGAGACAGTATTAATGTAGGGTGTGTCTTGGGTTAGTATGTGTTGGACTGCTGTTGAGACCACCAGGTGCTCCAAAGAAGCTTTCTGCTCCCTGTTAAGTGCTGTCTAGACAGTTCCAACTCAAAAGGACCTAGGGTTTCTGAAGAGTGGTTGGAGGATTTGAACTGCCAACCCTGGGGTTAGCGGTCCAGTGCTTATCCTGTAGTGCCACACCAGGACTCCATAGGAGTTGGAACCACTATGAGTTGGAACTTATTTGAAGGCACACAGCTAGTCAGCCAGCCAAGCAGAGCAGAGATGGGGATGGGGGGAGAGAAATGCCAAATCACAAGACTGTCCAGCAGCAAGAGACAAGGACCTTCCTTCAGAGGCGACAGAGGGAAAATCTTTTCCTAGTGCTGGCACCCTGAATTCGGACATCTAGCCTCCTAAACGCTGAGAAAATAAAGTTTTAAAAACCAACCTCTTGTGATATTTGTTATAGTGTCACTTGATAACCAAGACACCCCCCTTCCCAACATTAAAATCGTACATTTATTTAGGAGAGCAGCTCAGAATTCATTGCCTTTCCAGTCACAACGAGTTGCTTTCCCTCGATATAACATTTCTATAAAATGTGAATACATGAATTTAATATTTTAGAAGTGGTGGTGACCCTGTACAGGGTTTCCGGGGCGGTAAACCCACACAGTCGCAGAAAGCCTCATTTTTCTCCTGCAGAACGGCTGGTAGTTTCGAACTGCTTGTCTTGAGATTAGTAGCCCGACTCAAACACTACACTACCAAAGCACGTTCATGTGTTGAAAGGAAAGCATTAGTAGAGAATTTCCAACTCCAAGTGGATGGAGTGGTCCTTGATGAGTCAGGAAAGGGGAAGGGGAGAGCTCAGTGGCTCCCCCACATGCTATCCTTTTGTTCTTACATCTCATTCAGAATAATGGCGATGAAGGTTGTGAGTGCGTAACCGTGGGAGAGGTTCGTGGATATGTGGAAGCAAGTTATGCGGTCAGCGCAGACTGAAAACGCTGATTAGGCAAGTAGGTCGCCGGAAGTTGTTTATGTTGATTGCGTGCAAAGCACTGCAGTTTCATGTGATCTTCAATAACAATTTTCTGTGGTGCTGAAATATTTATTTTCCAGATGAGCAAACTGAGCCTCAAAACCACACAGCCACGGAACAGCAGGGACCGGACCCGACCCAACCGCGGACCAAGCCAAGATAATACCACGCGCTAAGAAAACCGCGGGTTGGAGACCGTGTGCAGGCACCCAGTGCCAAGCCGAGCAATTGTTATTGAGTCGATTCCGACTCATGGCGACCCTGTATACGGTTTCCTAGAAGCGGCTAATGGATTTGAACCAAAGACCTTCAGGCTCAAAGGACTTTGCAGTTCAGCGCATTATCCTACACCACCACACCAGGACTCCTTGACCCAGAATTCCCGGAACTGTGGACAAGACCACAAGCTCAAAAGAAAGGGGGAGACGTTGGGCTGTGCGGTGTAGCTGTTGCTGTAAGAAGGCCGGAAGTTCCCGTGAGTCTTTGCCAATGTTACCCTCCCTTCTGTGAGAAGTGGAATATTCCTGATCTTTAAGAGCCCGAGTCGCGGCGAAAACGGCCTTTCCGCGGTGCCGCTGCGGTAATGGAGGTGAGCTAAGTTTCGGGCAAGTGCAAATAAGGAGAAAGAGCGTTCTTTGATTTCTGTACTGGTGTTTTCTGGAAGCTTAGGGAGGGGAGGGTTCTTGTCTACGGTAGGGAGGCGGGGACGGCTGTTAGCTGACTCGTGATCCTGCATGCGGGCCCTGGCGCCATGTGTACGAGTCACCGGGTGGCGCTAGGGGGCTGGAGGCCCACGTGAGCCGAAGCTGATAGGTTGCGTTTTTGCTTTTCAGGTAGTCGTCTCTGCAGCCTGTCTTGCCCGGAAGTTCGGAACGTCATCCCCTGGTGCCACCATGGGAACGCAAACCCTAGGGAGTTGGGTAAGTTGGGTTCTGACCCCTGTTGGGTCCTACAGTGGGTGAGGGAAGCCTCGAGCGACTGTCCTGATGATATTGGTAATAGGAAGTGCCGTCAGAAGCGATAACTGACGATGTTTATGCCTGTCTGACACAGTCGTAAACCCTTTGCCAGTTTAATTGAACGAAGCAGTCGGACCGTGCCTTACATGTGTCCTGCTTTATGTTTAAGGTTACAGACCCAACCTAGAGCGCAGGCGACAGGGAGGAGCAGCATCCTCGGTACCACGAGGTAAGCGCTAGGTGGTTTAATAACGACATTCTGGTGTTTTGGTTTTCAGTTAGCTTTAAATAAAGTCGATATTATAGTTGTGGATTTTTACCATATTTAACCCAAATAGTTACCAAACTAATACATAGTGGAGATCTTTGTAGAAGTGTGTTACACGTTTCCGGTAGTGAGCTTGAACTATAGAGGAGCTTGACTGCTGAAATTAATGGGAAACAGGTAGCTTCCTGCCTAGGAACACTCACGAGTTCCTACTAGTGCCCAGGAGTGAGTTGATCTGAACTTTCGTCTTTTTAACTCAGGTTAAAATTTTGAAGTTGCCACAAGAGGCAGTGTTGGAATTTGGGAGCGCCGGACTGCCATGAAGTGTTTCTCCAAGAGGTAGGATATTTAAAACCCATCCTTGTATCACTGAGGGTGGGCAGTCAAGCAATGGAAAGTGAATTTGGGAAGAAGGGGGTTTCCTCTTCATCTGTTTAATTTTGACTATTTGTATTCCTAGGTGTAGTTTCCCTCATGGTAGATAACATTGAGGTTCTAAAATTGAAAGTGAGGTAGTTACATGGAAGTCATACAGTCAAAGTTAATTAGTATTTGTTGACTAAAGAAATGCAATACAGCTAGGTCTAAGTGCTTTTGAGGATGCTTTTTAGCATGGCTGGTAGCTGAGGCTATTAGAAATGTCTCCCCCCCCACACACACACACACACACTTGGTGAGCTTGCTGATTTAGGTGTCTGTCCACTTCCTAGGTTGACAACTGACTGCTAGAGAATGGGATCTGCAGTGTAGTATTAACTGGCAACCAGAGCAGCTCAACCTGAGAGGTGAGTCTATGGTAACCACCATCATGGAATTAACACAAAACACGTTAAAACTTGATGTGTAGAAAAGGATATCATGTGATGAAATCACCCAAAATAGCTGGAATTACCGGCAGATGGTCCAGTGGTGAGCCTCTGGTTTTCTGAAGATAACCTTATGCTGTGGTTGGTTGACTGTTACTGATGGAGGTGGAAAGTGAGATGGTAATCAAGCTTCTTTGCAGGTTAGTTCCTGGGAGATGATCAACTGTGGAAATTGAAGCTCTGGAACAGCCTCTGGAGCCCACCATGAGCTTGGACTCAGAAAACCTCAGCATTTGGTCTAACAATTTGTTGGAAACATGCTCAAGTTGCTAGCCAAGGATTGGATTCGGCAACGTTTATCTAAGACAGACATCTTTGGAGTTAAATTTTATGAACTTTATAGTATTGCCCCTTGCCAAAAGAAGTGGGAAGTCCCAATTTGTTGTAAATGATCCCATGCAGTTAAATAGTATAATAAAGGAGTGTCAATGGTGTTGTTTCTTATAAATGTGTATTTGTGAATAAAATGTTAAATTTCGTTGCTGCCAGGTTTTCCCCTTAGTGATTTTGGTTTTTGAGAGCAAAGAATTTGAGTGTTTAAGGCATATCTACACAGTTGATTCAGACCCATAAACCTTCTGGCCAGTCTTGCATAGCTGTCAAGTTGTCTGCCTCTTGAGCAAGTTTAAGCAAGGTCCTTCATTGTTTTGCAGAGCCCTGGGTTAAACATCAGGCAAACTCACCAGCTGTCTGTTCCCTTAAGATTTTGTGCTACAGAATGGGAATCAGCTGGATGGCAGTGTGTTTTTCAGTCTGTACTTAAAGGGCCAGTATTTCTGAGAACTTGAAAGACAATTTGGTCAAAAGGAAAGGATAAAAATGCTTGGGACCTGTCCCAACTATCTTGGAGGCTTGCTAAGTGCAATATACACTTGAGGTCTGGCAGTTCAGATTTCTGGTAACTTAACAGGCTGAGTGATGCCAAAAATGTGGCTACTTTAAAAATAGACCTAGGCCACCTTAGACTGGGGTGTCTGGCATCTAGCTCCTTATTCCTAACTCCAGTTTAGGTTGGGGTTACGATTCCAACTTGGCTGGAATTGCTCTGAGAAGAGAGCAAATTTAATGCAGATTTGGAAACCCTGCACCTAACAATATACCTAGGAGAAAGCTCAGTGTTCACACTGCTTCCAAACCTTATACCCCTGAGCCAGTGGAGCCTTACAAAGGGGGAGGGTGAAAGGAACAAGATGATAGCACACCAGCTTTCCCAGATGTTGGGATTTGGTTCTTGGTAGGTGGGGCTGCCCAGGTCAGTTCTGAGTTGTGCACTTGGGAACCCCCTACTTCCTTCCCACTGCTCTCCTACTATATACACACTTCACGTCAGGGCTACAGTTACAGGCTCTACAAGGTCCCTATTGCTGTAATCTTTGGCAGGGGCCAATGGCCCCCCTCCAGGGTCTTCCTGGGTCCCATCCCGGGAATCCTCCCCACTGCCTGGCCCTTCACCCAGTTCCAGGATGGTGGGTAGGTGGCCTTGTTTGGGGGAGCGCTTGCGCAGGCTGAGCAGGAAGGGCTGAGGCAGTGAGAAGATATCCACGTTGTTGCCCAGGTCTATCCATGTGACATTGGGGAACTTGCTAGGGTCCTTCAGAGCATCAGTGAGGTCACGCAGTAGAGCCCTGGTCAGCCGGTTGCCATTGAGTGCCAGTGTGGTGAGGCGGGGTAGTGTGCTGAGCGCAGGCAGCAGCTGTAGAACCATATCGTCTGTGAGGCCGGTGAAGCCCAGCTCCACGCTGTCCACCTGCTCCCCACAGCGCTGCAGGTAGCTGGTCACTCGCTCCAGGTCACGGGAGGTCAGGGGAATGCCTGACAGGTCCACTGTATTGTCCAGAGGGCTCCCAGCCAGGACAGCCTTGAGGCTGAAGAGAAGGAACAAGTAAGGGTCAACCAAGTATGTTCCTCAGACAATTGTGACTAAGCCCTGGGATTCCGAGGTATGTTTAAAACCATCAAATTCTACAAGTACACTATAGGGAGAAACCAGGGACCTTCCCCCATTCCACCTGTTGGCACTTCCCTGGCTGATCAAAACATGAGGTCTGCAGCTGTCCTGTGGGGTCACAGGTATGAGAGAGACCCAGGTGTTTCTGCAGGCCTGCACTTGCACTTTAACCCCTTCCTAGCTGTGTAACCTTTAGTTACTTAACCTGCCTGAAATATGAAACTGCAACAGTGTACGGTATATATTAAATGATTAATATTTGTTGCTGTCATTAATGATCACGTGGTCTGAGCTTTCTGCTTCTACCACCACTGGGAACCAGCTGAGATCTTCCCAAGAGTGTTAAGAAGGACCTTTGCAAGGCTACCTTCCCCATCAGACTGAGAACCTTTGGGGCAGCCCTGCCTAACAAGTATGGGATGGCTTGGTGTTCCCCACTCCTTTCCACTTAGCTCTCCTTGTTCCTTACTCAGGCCAGAGCCCTGGCTGCCTAAGCTGAGGTGAATAGCCCTTCCCTCACCCTCTCTGCTGGGTCTAAGGCCAAATGCCAACCTTCCCCACCTCTAGGTGCCATGCCCTCTTTCCCATGTTAATAGCACAAGACGCAGAGCTTAGATTTCCTGTCTGCAAAAGTAGCTAAGTTTCTATTCTTTGGATTTCCTGAAGCTAGGAGGCTGCCCCCAAATTTTCTCTTGCCTGATTGAGATCCAGCTTTAGGAATATAAAACTCAAGGCATGACATTTAAGTCTTGGCCCACTGCCTGGCATTTGGTCAGTATAGCTGGTTGCAGTTATTGTCCATGCTATTAATAAAGCAGCTCTACACCACCAGGAGTCCTGGTGTGGCGCTGTGGGTTAATGCGCCAGACTGCAAAGCCATTTGAACTGCAAGGTTGGCGGTTCAAGCTCACCAGCTGCTCCTCAGAAACCCTATACAGGGTCACTATGGGTCAGAATTAACTCGACGACACTTAACACCACCAGGAAATGATGTAGCATGGTAGTAGCTTGGGCCTCAGATCAGATCAATCTGGTGTTTGAATCCAACACCAGTTAAGTGACTTGATCAGTCAACTGTAGTATCCTTACCTCATTCACTCCTTTGAGTATTTACTAAGCTAGTTGCTGCTATGTGCCAAGCACTGTTCTAGGCTCTGAGGACCAGGGGGTCACATGAGGCTCAGCCTTTGTTTCCAGTGGGGGTGGCGACACAAGACAGTAAGAGTGAAATTAGAGTGGCTTGGGATGGTGGAAGGGGTGGACCTACTTGAGATGAGATTGGCCAGGGCTGGCTTCTTTTAGGAGGTGACATTTGAGCTGACATGTAAAGACAAAGTGTGGCTCATCAGCGGGGAATACAGGTACACCAGACCTGGAGGCCTGAACAAGCTTGAGGTGTCTGTGAAGCAGTGGGAAAGCCAGTGTGGCTGGGTGTAAGGTCTTGTCTGGGTGTTATTCAGTGTGATCTGAGGGGAGTGAGGAGACCTCATACACAGCTTCTCATACACTCCAATGGAGAATGGGGTGAATGTGTGTAGGGGACAGAGGAAGAACCCAGAGTCCAATGCAGCTCAAAGTTCTAGCTTCTCAGTCCTAGAACACTAGCTCACCAAGTCTCAATGTGACTGGTTTTAGGATTCCTATACCTTCCTGTCCTGCTTTAACTCTTCATACCACACTGCCCCAGTCCAACCAGTACCCTTCCCATGGCTAACTCAGGGAGAGCCTTCCACTTTGTTCAACAAGGGATCCATCTCTAACCAGTCGGAACCATGTGCGTCCAGAAGGGAGAGAGGAGCCAGTACTCTTTTCTCTGTAGGTGGGACCAGTCTCCTCCTGGTCTGCCAGAGCCTGGAAATAACAGCCTGTGGCCATCTGAGCCCTTCAGATAGCAGCCACGCTGCAAGAAAGGTAGTGGCCCTTCTCGGAGAAGCCCACCTTTCAGACTCCTCTCGCTGCCTTCCTCTAGTGCTCTGTCCTGGTCCACAGGGTTCTGTGTTACATGTGCCACCATCTCCTTTGGGAGCCACTGAAGTTCCTCACCGCTACTGTGCCAGACACATAGCTAGTGATAGGGTTCCTCTACGGGGGTACCCTGCTGTGGGTTAATGGCACCAGACTGCAAAGTCGTTTGAACTGCAAGGTTGGTGGTTCAAGCTCACCTGCTGCTCCTTGAAAACTCTATACAGAGTCGCTATGGGTCGGAATGGACTCAACGGGCACTTAACAACAACAACCGGGTACCCTGGGGCACTGGGAGGTTTTGGCACTGCCCTGTTTAGCACGGGGGGTGGGGGGCGGGCTATAAACTCCTGATCCCATCCTTCCGCCCATCAGCTCCAATCAGGGGTCAAGGCCACTGGAATGCCCGCCCCCAATTCGTCCCTCCTCCCGGCAGTCTCCCAGGTTAATCCCTCGGTTCTAGTCCCTGGGTGGAGCTGTACACTACCAGCCTGTTTCAGATGCACTTGGGCTGCACACACACACACACACCCCACCCCCCCGCAACGTGGAACAGCTTGGCTGTCCTGAGAGAGACTGGTAGGCACACTCACCAGGCCTGCGGCTTCCTCTTGCCCAGCCCTCGGTGCCGCCTCCACTGGGAGTGCGGGCTGAGATGGTAGGTCAGCTGCCGGCATAGCTTCTCCATGGCTCCCAGCGCGTCGCCTTCCTGCAGAAGCAACCACAGGTGCAGGTCCTGAGTGCAAAGCAGAGCTGCCTGCCTGCCAGCAGCCTCCCTGTCTCCGCGAAGGAGCCTGCAATTATGCTGGGGGCCTGCTTCACTGGCCGAAGGTGGACGCCCATAGCAGAGAACTGCGGTTGCACAGGGACCTGCAGTGTTTATAGTTTTTGTGAATTAATGGCGAGTCCGGGTGTGGCGCTGTAAGATAAGCACTGGACCACAAAGTCGGTGGTTCAAACTCACCAGCCAGTCCTCGGAAACTCTATACAGGTACAGGGTCCCTATGAATCAGAACTGATTTGAAGGCACTTAATAGCAGTTGAAAGAAATGAGATTCAGTTGGGATTGCAGCTTTATTAAATCTGGCTAGAGCTGTGAGGGTTGGAAATGTAAAGGTAGATGTTTTGTAGCAAGGAGGGGAATGATTAACTTTGCAGTCTAGGAGCGGAGGTCTTTGGGACCATCATGGGAGAAGAGCGGAGAGTGGGACCCTACCCAGAGAAGTAGTGACACCAGAGATGGAGGCAGAGATGATGACGTGGAGAGATGAAGCAGCTGGGGACTTTAGACCCAGAGAGGGAGAGGGGCTGTGTGCTGATGACCGAGGGAGGTGAGGGGCTCAGGCTTGTAGGATATACCCTTTGGTTGGTTGATGATGCATAGAGGGGATTGTAACCATGGCAATGAAACAATATACAATAGGATGAATGTAAAACTAATGCTCTCCCATGTAAACTATTACATAATTCACAATGAAACATTAAAAAAAATAAAAAAAACAAACTGATAAATAAATCTGCTCTTGAAATAAAAAGATTGTCAATCAAGAAGAAATTTATAAATTAAAATATATGAAATAAACACTGAAAATACAAATGAAAGGAAATAATAGACAATTCAACAATAATAACTATAGACTTCAATCCCATAATTTCAAAAACAGTACAATTAGAAGATCAAACAAGAAACTGAAGACATGAATAACACTATAAACCAACTACACCAGCACTCTACCCAACAAAAGCAGAATACACTTCTCAAGTGCACATGGAATATTCTCCAGGATAGACCATACGCAAGACCATAAAACAAGTCACAGTGAATTTTAAGGGACTGAAATAAAATATTACAAAGCATGTGTTCTGACCACAAAGAAACGCAATTAATTATAAACAACAGAAAGAAATTTGAGAAGTTCAATAATACACTCCTAAGTAAACAATGGATCAAAAAAGAAATCACAAGGGAAATTAGAAACTACTTTGTGATGAATGAAAACAGAAACACAACATCCCCAAACTGACAGCTGTAAGGAAGGCAGTACTTGAAGGGTAATTTATAGCCCTGAATGGCTCCATTATTCAAAAAGCAGAAAGAGCTCAAATAAATGACCTGGCCTTCCACCTTAACAAACTAAAAAAAGAAAAGCAAACTAAACCCAGAGCAAGGAGATGGAAAGAATTCATAAATACTGGAGTGACAAAAATTAATACAGAATAGAAAAACACTAGAAAAAAAATTTAACAAATGCAAAAATAAGCTCTTTGTCAAAAACAATGGACAAACCCTCAGCTAGCCTAAGCAACAACGAAGATCAGAATTAGTAAGATCAGGATGAAAGATGGGACATTACTAGTGATCTAATAGAAATAAGAATTATACGGAACTCCCCCCTCTAGGACTGAAACTCAAAGGGAACACATGAGCAGGCTTGTAAACTTGCTGACGACCATGACCATGTTGGGCTACTGGTGAGTGGAAGAGGGGGAAAGGCAGCAATGAAGAAATGGGCTGAGTTCAACCACGTTCACAGACTCCTGCTGACCTGGAAAAGAGAGACAGTGCTGGCTGATTCAAAGTGTGGTGAGACCTGGGGACACCTAAGCCTATGAACAAGGACATAGCCACGGAGGGCTAGAGCTGAGAGTGAAGCATCCAGCTGACACGAAACAAGAGGAGACGCACAAGAACACCCAAAGTTGCAGACAGTACCCATTTGACCTAGCCTCGATGGCTTGAGAATCAGAACTTTCTAGAGGAAGATTAAAAAAAACAAAAACAAATTTTCATCAAGGAAACGAGGGTTAATTGCTAAATCTGATGAACCTGACCTAACTTATGGAGGTAGTAACTCTAAATACCAACAGAGAGGGAAGGAGTCTTCACATCAAGTATCAATGCTAGGGACGGGCAACTTAGACATTGGCTACCTAAAATGAGGGTGTGATAAAGGCACAAACTGACTGGCTTACAAGGTTTCAAGAGGGAGTTTAGTTTAAGAGTGTGTGGGGGAGGAGTCCCCACTGAATATCTTGTCTAGATGAGTCTGGTGAAAGGAGATGGGGTTAAGATTCTTATGATTCAATAGTGAGTAATCATTATCATGACTAACTGTGACTGTCACAACTGTAAAGGCAGAAGAAGTTTTGTAACAAAAATGGGGGAGTAGTTAATCTTACAGTCCAGAAACTGAGGACCCTAGGACCATCAAGGGAGAAGCACACAAGCAGAGTGAGGGACCCTATCCAGGGAAGAAGCTACACCAGAGATGGAGGCAGAGATGGGGACATGGAGAGACGGAGCAGCTGAGGACTCTAGATTCATGGGAAGAGAGGGACTAAGAGATGGCAGCCTGGAGACAGCCTTGCAGAATGTGCCCTTTGGTGGTGTAAATTATTATATATGTCTGAGTTTTTAGGAAAAAAAAAAAAAAGAGCTAAAGTGAATAGAGAGAAATACTGTTAACTGATGGTACATGGAAGGGATTGTAATCATTGTAATGAAACATGGTGCATGATTTGCTGAATATAAAACTGATGATCTGCCCTGTAATCTCTCACTCAATCCACAATAAAAACTTAAAACAAGAAGTGTTGTCTAGTGGGTTGTGACACATAGGGCTTCAGGGGAGTGGCTGGTGGATTTGAACCGCCAACTTTTTGGGTAGCAGTCCAGTGCTTATCCTATAGCGTCACACTAATGGCCACAAATTAAATTACTTAAACGAAATGGACAACTTCCTAGAAACACAGAAACTACCAAAACAGACTCAACAAGAAACAGAAAATTGGAATGGGTCATAAGCAAATAACTTCCCACAAAGAAAAACCTAGGACCAGATGGCTTTGCTGGTGAATTCTACCAAATGTTTAAAGAATAATTAACACCAATCCTTCACAAATTCTTCCAAAAATAGAAGAGGAGGGACCACATCCTAATTCATTCAATGAGGCCAATATTATCTTGATACCCAAACCAAAGGCATCACGAGAAAACACAACTACAGACAAGTATTACTTATGAATAGAGACACAAAAATTCCCAACAAAATACCATCGAATGAGTACAAACATACAGAAAGCTAAGCCAGTTGCTGCTGAGTCTGTATTGACTCACAGCGACCCCAGGGGAGCGGAGTAGAGCTTCATAGCGTTTTCAAGGTTGTGATCTTTCAGAAGAAGACCCCTCGGCCACTATTCCAAGGTGTCTTTGTGTGGGTGTGAAGTGGGTGGGTGGGCACTAGTGTGATGTATGATATATATATAAAGGATTATATACCATGACTAAAAAGGAGCCCTGGTGGTTCTGTAGAATAAGCACCGGACTGCTAAACTACAGGTCTGGTGCTCAAGCCCATCAGGAGAGAGATGAGACTTTCCATCAAGATTTACAATCTCCCAAACCCTATATGGGGTTGCTAGGAGTTGAGGGGTTTGGTTTTCGGTTTACCACGACGAGGTGGGATTTGTACTCTTGGAATGTAAGGCTACTTCATCATATGAAATCCAATAATATAATAATACATATTAATAGAATAAAAGCAAAAATGATCATCACAATCTATGCAGAAAACACATTGGAGAAAATTCAACTTCCTCTTATGATCAAAACAAAACCACCACTCTCCCCACCCACGTCGTCCAAACAAAACAAAAAAGAAAAAACACTCAATAAACTAGGAACAGAAGATAACTTTACCATGATAAAAGGCATATATGAAAAACCCATGAATAACATCATACTTAACATACAAGACAAAGCTTTCTTCCTAAAAACCAGACAAGGCTGACCATTTGTATTCAACATTGTACTGGATTCCAGCCAGAGCAATTAGGCAAGAAAAATAAAAGGAATCCAGATTGAAAAGGAGTAAGTCAAACGATGTCTATTTACATATGATGCTACCTTATGTTGTGTGCCGTGGAGTCAGTTCTGATTCATAGCGACCCTGCACAGGGTTTCCGAGGCTGTAAATCTTTACAGGAGCAGAAAGCCTCATCTTTCTCCTGCAGAACAGCTGGTAGTTTCGAACTGCTGACCTTGTAGTTTGCAGCCTGATTCGTAAGCACTACACTACCAAAGCTCCTTCTTTATATATATAGAAAGCCCTAAAGAATATACAAGGAGCTCTGGTAGCATAGTGGTTACGAATCAGGCTGTTAACCTCAAGGTCGGCAGTTTGAAACTACCAGCTGCTCCGCAGGAGAAAGATGAGGCCTTCTGCTCCTGTAAAGATGCGCAGCCTCGGAAACCCTACGCAGGGTCGCTATGAGTCAGAATCGTCTCCATAGTATTTAACAAAGAATACATACACAGAACTATTAGAACTAATAAATGAGTTCAACAAGGTTGCAGATGTAGGATCAATATACAAAAGTCATATTTATATCAGAAGCAATGAGCAAATTGAAGATGAAACTAAGAAATAATTTCATTTACAATAGCATTCAATACAATAACATGCTCAGATATAAAAGAATGAAATTTAAAACCTAAAAATAGACATTCCATGCTCATGGATTAGAAGACTGATTATTGTTAAGAAGGTAGTGCTCCCCACACTGATCTACAGATGGATCAAGATCAAATATATAGCTGCCTTTTTTTTACAGAAATGGACAAACAAATCTTAAAATTTACATGGATACAGCAATCTTGGAAAAAGAGTACCAAAAAGTTGAAAGCTTCACAAGTCCCAGTTTTGAAAC